GGTAGGTAGGTAGGTAGGTAGGTAGGTAGGTAGGTAGGTAGGTAGGTAGGTAGGTAGGCAGGTTGGTAGATAGATAGATCTTCAGGAGAATATCTGCATATCTGTTGACATATTATCAACAAACAACAGTTCTTTTCATACCTTTCTACGTGTTGTACCACAAGCATTAAATATATAAGTCAATATGCCGAATATTTGAAATATTTGATCTGACTGTTGAAAATGTTTTGAGCATTAAAACGTAGATTTAAAATTCAGATTGAAACATAAGTCAAAGTAAACGTCACTATTTTCAGAGCCTTGTGGTCAACCTCTTGGGGTAGAAGACGGAACAATTCCTCCACAACAATTGACAGCATCAAGTGAAAGAGACAGTTACCATGGAGCTGATCGTGGGAGGCTTAACACCGTACGAGAAGGCTCTTTCGTGGGTGCATGGGTGACTCTACAAGACGACCAACATCAATGGATTCAAGCTGACTTGGGTTCTTTGTTAAAGGTGACGGGAGTAATCACACAAGGACGAGAGGATTATGCAGATCAGTATGTGACGTCATATGAAGTTCTTTACAGCCTTGATGGTGACCAATTTGAAGAAATCATCAACATCAATGGTCAAGTTGCAGTATGTTTTTATATATATATAAATATATATATATATATATATATATATATATATAATCTGCATGGTAGTTTGAACCAGATCATGAAGACGAAAGTGCTCAATTCATTGCACCGAGGCCTAATGACCGTATAATTATTTGTGCTGAACAATTAAACAAAATGTTGATACCTTCTATTAACTGAGGACTAACTATAATGTCGCATAGTGATAAACCAATGTGGATTGGTTGTTGTAACAGCGATAAAGACATCAGTCCCCCTTATATGTATAAATAATAATTAAATAATATAATATATATATTATATACATATATACACATATATATACATATATATATACACATATATACATATATAAATATATATATATACATATATATATATGCATACATTTAGATAGATATATATATATTCATATATACATTCATAAATATTTTATATTAAGGTGTTTAATGGAAACTCCGATAGAAACACGGCTGTGACAAACATGTTCCATGATCCTGTCTACGCCCAATTCATCAGAATCCATCCGACCAATTGGTACGCTCGCATAAGTTTAAGATTTGAAGTTCTTGGATGCTCAGGTAATTATATAATATTTAAATACATAAATATACAAATAAACACACACAAACTTCCAGTGGTGTCCATCAAACGTCGGCTTTCTACAAAGCTGTTTAAGTGACTTGATGAATTTTTATTCTATTTCCCTAACCCGTACGTACGCCTTATAAGTCGTACGTACGCCTTATGGGTTATTAAGGCGTACGTACGCCTTATGTAACCCGTACGTACGACTTATTAAGGCGTACGTACGCCTTATTAAGGCGTGGTTGTCCAAAGTGTGAACACACAGTGACCACAGTGTGTTTTATACATAACCACCGTATGAACAATTCACATAATAGGTGTGAAAACACTGTGACAGTGTGTTTTTACACAGGAAACAGTTTGAAATTCACATAGTAGCCCACAGTGTGAACACATGCTGTGACCAGGTGTTTTCGCTTCTTTTCCAGTTATTATTCCCTCATACTGTTGTATAGGGTCGTTTTTCCCGTAGGTTGATATTTCCCTCTGTGTGTATATTTGTTTGGTATGATTGACAGCTACCAGTGGGAGAGTATTTTTCGCGTGCCTGTGTTACGTGCCGTTGCGTAATGGTTACGCGCTTACCATGCGAACCACATCGACAGCTTCAGCCACTGACACTTGCTCCCGCTCGCCAGTTTTTTTTTGCAAGCTAAAGAATCGAAACTAACCTAGGCCTATTAGCAATAGGCCTATGAATTTGGGTTCTAGTGCACCGGGGTTGACATGTTGCAGGATCACACCAAGGTTCTTTGCCTAGATCATGGAGATCCTGACTGACAGAAAATGCCAAAGAATGGTTGTGGTTGCAGTAAACGGTAGGCTAAAGTTTTGATTTATTAGCCTAGGCCTAGGCCTATTCTGTCAGTTTACTTTTAGTTTTCTAGGCTAGGACTGGGGAATAGTTAGTTAATTTTAACGATATCATTAAGGACGGTAAGTTATAAATCCAGTTAAAGTTAAGTTAATAATTATTTGTTAGGCAGTTGCCAGTATTTTATTCATTTTAACTAAGACTTGATTAGGATTGGTAGGCCTAGGATAGGGTAAGCCTGGATCTTGTATTGTATGACCAGGCCTAGGCGTGAACTAGGCTAGGTCCTAGGTGAGGCCACTAGGCCAAAGCCTAGGCTAACTATTTATTAATTAGGGCTTGCCGATTTTTTAAGTTTTATCTTTGTATCTGATAACTCCAAAGGAAATAACTGTTTTGTTAAGCTTTCTTTCTTCTCGGTTCATCAGTTATTGTTATTGTATTTAATAACACGGTATTTGGCAAAAATGTCATTTGATCTTCTCAGCTTTGTATGTACATGTTGAAGCTGCAATTATGTAGTTGAATGCCTTTCTTCGTCAATCTGCACCGGATGCGTATCTGACAGTACAACTCCTGACCAGTACGTCACCATCCAAATCGGACAGACAGTGTAAGTTGAATAAAACATTGTACTAGGCCTAGGGCTATATAATATTTTTAATTCATAATTTTATTTTTTTTTTCCTAAAATACTGTGCATATATAATGTCATTTTTTTTTTCAATTTAATTACAATTAATTTCATTACAACAATATATACAAAATCGAATTCCATTGACCTTCATTGTGACTTCACCAACAATATCTGTTATTCACATTCCGTTAAAAAGGACACAATCAAATATTATCAAATTTCAACTGAAAGTCATCAAGCCAAATAAATATTTGTTTTAATTTAAATTAGAGTAGTCAAAGTTTAAGATATTGCTACATTATTAAAATTAATTAAATTTTACCCCAGAAGAAATGGTAACTAGTTTAATCACTGGCCATCGACTAAACGACGAAGACAAAATCCAGCCCATTCTGGAACAACAAAAAGTGAATGCCATAATCAGTGAGTAATACATTGTCGACGTTTATTTATCTATTGAAGATTTTAATTGAACTCGTTTTGAAACTTATAATATATAGAAAATACATGGCTTTATACTTTCTTATAATTGAAGTTTTAAACAAGTAACCTTTTTTCAGTTGTCTAATGATGCAGAATATTTATACCTGTATCATAAAAAGTATGGCACAAAACTATAAATTTTCCATATCGGAGTGTCCTTAATTTAGAACTTTAAACATAATACAATGTCATTTATTAACTGTACTGTATTGTAATTATAAAGTATTGGAAAATTGAATAACCCATCAATGGTTTTTTTTTAATAATTCACATATCAGAATTTATATGTTTGAACTCTCCAATCTTTTATAATTATTTGTTTATAAAAAAAGGACGTCTACTGTTGTAGAAATTATTATTCCAATCAAAGGTTTTTAGTAAATGTTGCTAATTATTGATATTTTTGTCATTTATGTCCTTACAGATTGTGTGCGTGATGAGCACTGACATAATTGGAAACAAGATGGGAATCAAATGTAAAGATACTCGGCATCTAAAGAGAAAATGAAAAGTTAAACTTGTTGGATTAGTCGTTTTTGTGTATTTTTTCAGGACTATATCTTCCAACAGTTGAATTTTGAATGTTTTTTTCTTCAATGAACTTTAAAAACCGATATTATGACAATAGTATCCGATTACAATTTCCTGAAAGAAGTACCCACAAACCTTCAATAAATGTTTACATTGTTTATATCATTATATTGCTATTCTTATGTGGTGTTTCATTTTCAGATTGTTAAGACTAGTGTGTTCGTATTATATTATAATTGCATGTTACAATCAAGACAATGCAGTTAGCATTGTTAGCAGGAAATTATTTATATTTACTGAGAAGTATGTGCTGACAGTGTGGAGTGTGTGCTGACAGTGTGATTACTCTGTGTTGACAATATGATTATTCTGTGTTGACAGTGTGATCACTCTGTCAACACAGAGGGATCACTCTGTCAACACAGAGTGATCACTCTGTCAACACAGTGTGATCACTCTGTGTTGACAGAGTGATCACTCTGTGTTGACAGTGTGACTTACTGTGTGCTGACAGTGTGATAACTTTGTGTTGACAGTGTGATCACTCTGTGTTGACAGTGTGATCACTTTGTGTTACAGTGTGATCACTATGTGTTGACAGGGTGATCACTCTGTGTTGACAGTGTTATTACCCTGATCGCACTGTCCACACAGAGTGATCACTCCGTGTTGAAAGTGTGATTACTCTGTGGCAATAGTGTGGTCACTGTGTGTTATGACACTGTGGTCACTCCGTGTTCCACACAGTGCAAACATCATGAATTACACATATTCAATAGAGTCAACACATAGTGAAAACACAGAGTGTCCATATAGTGTAAAACCATATAGTCAAAACACATAGTGAAATCACAGTGTTCCCACATAGTGCCCACATGGTGTACACTATGTGCTTTAGTACCACATAGTGGAAACCACAGAGTACACAACTATGTGTTCACTGTGTGAAAACATAGTATTTCACTCTGTGTAATTTTTCTAAGGGTGGAAAGTTCAGTAAAGGGTACTGCTAGCTGTTGGGTGTATCAGACTGGGTGCACGATTTCAGAGTTTTGGAATGTATTTGACCAGGGCCACAAGCTTTCCTAATGTTAAGTTTGAACAATTGATCTTCTACATTTCTATATTCAATAAAATATAAGGCTAGTTTTAAAAGAATAATAAATAGGAAACTCCCAATTATCGGCTTTTTGTAGTGGAACCTGGAAGCGTTTAGAAGTACAGTAATGGAAATTACATCTCGAAGGAGGTGGCGAGAAACTATTCTTAAGGAGTTAATTTACCTGAATTTGGTACAGAATGACTGCCTTGGAATTTCGCGTTTCTCCTTATGTGCGCTGCACATGTTTTAATGAACATTTTGAAACTTAAATAGAATTATTTTGTTTTCTTCTGTTATAAAATATAGTTATCTGTGTTGCGTGTATTTTTTCCTTATCCAATGAGAAACAACAATCAGTTTCCTTTTTTATTATCTCATCTCTGATTTAGGTCTGATGTGATTTTCATTGTTTGAATTGAACATTTTTTTGTTTGGCGAAAAAGATTAAATTATACATGTAATAACAGTGCTTGAATATATGAACATAGGATGTTTTAATCGTATCAAGCATAGCTTTACACAATTCTCATGAAAAAGTTACCAGTGTGAGATTAGAACCTGAAACCTCTAGCTATCAAGAAGAGTGTCAAACTGTAAGACCACAGTGAAGTAACAATATACAGGCACTGATCCAACTTCAGATGCCTTTTCCCATACAGTTACACATTGTAGCTCAAGGGTTAAGATGAGGTAGCTTTCAGGTCATAATCTGTCATAATAATTCTTACATGCTTTGGCTGTGTATATCTGAGTAAATCCTCAGTGTCGAACCATAACTCCGTTCTACGCGTTGCAACTCTGAGTAGCGTTTCGTCACGATGGGTCATATTCATAATCCCAAAAGGCAAGTATCAACAATGCCAATTAACCCAATACAGTGTGATTAAATTTTTAATAAAATATGTCTGGTGTTGCTTTCAGCTGAAGCAATACTGTACAATCATCACTGCTACAAGTTTGTCAGTGATCCGACAACATGGAACGACGCAAAAGCAATGTGTGAGAGTTTCTCTTCACGGTTAATTACGATCAACACGGAAGAAGAGCTAGCTTACTTCACTGCTGTAGCATCAACCTTCAATCCATTCCCATCGCCATGGACGGGGATGAACGACATTTTGGCGGAAGGACTGACATACGAACAACCGACCTACAACGAGTTTATTGATAATGACGACCCAGAGAACAGCGACTGCTTTCACATTGACACGAATGGTGATATGAGTTACAGAAGTTGCGATGATGAGTTTGGGTACGTGTGTGAAGGTAAGGGCAGAAAAAAAATGTTGGCATAATATAAGTTTACAATTTGAAGTTCTCGGTTGTTCAGGTAATTAAGCTTTTTACAGGTTTTGGTATATACCCACTACCTGTCTCTTATACACATCTAGATGTGTATAAGAGACAGTATATATACACATATACACACACACGTTTTAAAAGAGAAAATTTAAAATTGTTAAAACTATGGATATAACTTTAATTATAACATATATTACTTAACATTATGAACGATGTTTGATAAACGTGTGAAAAACAATGAAGATTATGAATATATGTGCATTTGCGACGAAAAGAGAAATACCACCATCATCATTATCATTATCATATTATTATTATTATTATTATTATTATTATTGCAGACTTAATTAATATTTATATTATTATCATTATAAAAAATAATATTTTAATATCAGTATTATCGATTATCAATTATTAATAGGCCTAATAATTTTATGAACATTTTACCTTAATAATTATCATTATCACAGTGATAGTCGCCGATGATACGGTTTATATTATTGATTTGTATTACAGCTCCGAGTATTATCTCTGAAAGCTATTCCATATTCAAAATAAACAAATCACCGGCAGCCGGACAAGTAGTCGGGAGTTTCTATGCACGGAGTTCTGGCGCATGCTCATTGGAATGCGGTAGATTGGAATCGTGTGTTTCATTTTCGTTTAGTAGTTTTTCAAACGAGTGTATACTGAGCAGTAGTACAGGTCAAAGTTCAGAACTGGATGATGCGGAAGATTCTGACTTTTATGTCTTTACATCAACTGAAGAGATATGCAGACCATTTACATGAACTAGAATATCGCTTTAAGTCGTTTCTGTTAAAGCTTTAGTTTAAATATTTCGAGCATTTGATGTGACACATAACATTCGTAATGTTATTAAGATGTCTGATATGAAATAAGTAAACTATGTGTTATAGTATAATTCTACTTTGTATTTGAAACTACAGTACTTGTAAACTTCAGTTGTTTTAGAAATAAGACAACATACTAAAACATCATGCGTGTAGAAAGTCGATTCTATAGCTCATCATTTGAATAGTTTCCAATATATGGAGCCCATAATTAATAGGGAGATTTCGATTCGAGCAACGACGTGACGGAGAATGGATTTACTCATGCGTGACCTCTACGTTCTCTGTCACGTAGAGATTAGGTCAAATTGAATCCTAGGAATCCATGCGACGAGAATTTGCGAATTACTTCTTAGTGAAGTCAAGAATTAAAACAAAATACGGTCAAAGTTAAATCTGAGACTGCCATTTAAAGGCATATGAGGTGTAAGCACCATCACATTTCGTATCTCAGCCCAAAACCATGTTGGCCGGGGAATGAGTTTGTCTTGTCCCTCAATTTGCAAAATGTTCGTCTTGAGCAACCTCCATTTTAAATCTCTGAATCCGCCAAACATCTGGCATTTATCTAGTACAACTAAAAACTTACTTATTGCAAACCTTTAAACAATAATTATTTTGAACGTCTTCCTCTCCCATTTCTGAATAATTATATCATATTTGCCTCACATCATCTTTTTCCTTAATGCTATATCCAGACGATCAAATTTTCATGGTATCATCCCATTTGGTTAAAATCCAGTTTGTTGAAACACGGTTTGCCGAATTTATCCCACTTTGCCGAAAACCCAGTTTGCCGAATCCAGTTCACCGAAAACATGAAATCCCAGTTGGCCGAAACCTGGTTTGCCAAACCCAGTTTTCCAAATTTGAATTTTGTCGTCACCGTCGTACAAAAGAGCAGCCCACTACTATTTTGAAATAAAATGTAATAAACAGTAATTATGTAGGCAAAATCGAATGTAAACTTAGACTTAACTATTTTGAACTAAATTTAAGAACGGTAATTATTGTAAGCGAAACTGAATGTAAACTCGGACTTAACAACCACAACAAAAAACCCATCAAAATGGCTTCCTGTGGCTTACAACTTTAATTTACCGATGTATACTATCAGCGACTTAGGCTTAATATTCTTATGCACCAATTTCAAATCTACTAAGGCTAGAGGACTTGGCGGATACACTCGGGACACCTTCTAGGCTTAGTAAATGTGAAATTGGTACTTAAGATTAACTAGCCTAATCACTGATAGTATGGCTCTTTAATTTGAAATAATGAGCAATAGTAAAGCCATTTGATGCCCTCTAAAAATACATGCTTCACTATTCCAGCCTAAAAATACATTCCTAATTCATATAATGTTTTGAGGCATCTACTGTTTGATGAAAACCTGATAAAGGGCGATGCCCGAA